AGGATGGCCTTGTCAGGCATCTGTGGGAGAGGAGGTCCTTGGTCCTGTGAAGGCTGGATGCCCCAGTGTGGAGGAATTCGAGGGCGGGGAGGTGGGAGTGGGTGGGTGGATGGGGGCACATCCTCATAGAAGCAGGAGGAGGGGGATGGGATGGGGGTTTCGAGAGGGTTGAGGAAAGGGGATAGCATCTGAAATGCAAATAAATAAAATATCCAGTTTTTTAAAAAGATTTTATGTAAAGATTTTTTTTCCTTTAGAATTCTTCCTGCTTATTTTCTCACTCTATTCTTATTGTCCTTCTTTTAAAAGAAAATCAGCACTGAAGCCATTAAGTGAGGCAATCATGTCACAGTAGGCACTTGATTGTTCTGTATTGGAGACTGATATGGAAACAATAGGGCTGCATGGCCTGCTGTAGGGCATCCAGTAAGAATGAGTGGGGATAGAAAGTCATCTTTGGAAAGTTTGCCAGAACCGTTTGAGGATTAGGGTGGTGTGGGAGCAATGCCAAATGATGTTAAAATTCAAATACGTGAGGAATATCCAAGAGCCCTGAATGGGCAGTAAAAGCCCAAGTGCAGACAATTGCATCTATACAGCAGCACAGACAGTACATTTTGGAGGGCAATTGGCTAAATATGTAAATATATTAAGAGTGGCAAAAGACAGGTTGCTGTCTACTAAAGAGGACAGTAAGTAAAGCCAGGGACTATAGCAAAACTCTAGTGTAGTGAATTAGATTGGTAACATGTATATCGTATATATGGATAAATATACTTAAAGATTTATGAACGTGAAATAGTGTGTATACACTTCCTAGCTCTTCCCATTGAAGAAGTGCTTAGTAATATAACAGTTGGTAACACTAGTTAATATCCAGCATACTCATGTAATGTGGTTTGCACAGTTCTTTAAAAACAGAAAATGGTGTGGTTTTCCATAACGAGTTACTGGGCGCAAAGTGAAGGATGAAAGCTACACTTAATAGTGAGTATGAGGATTTATGTTTAGAATGCAGTTAGCGATTACACTGGTAGGAAAATGGCAATGGTAGGGTACCCTCTAGGCTCCAGCCTCAGCAGCCATGGCTAAAATTACAGTACCAAGTGTACATTCCCTCCAGTTGAGCAAATTTTAAATCCAGTTAAATGGCTGTTGCTTGCCTTCAGGATGTAAGTTCCACTCTTGCACCTTTGGAATATCTTGCCATTCTTGGCACTGTTGTGTTTCACAGGAGTTCATTAGGATAGGAATGCTTTTCTCCCTTGGCAGCTTCCATTCTTCTTTCAATATGATGAAAGCTAATCCTCAGGGAAGAGGCTCCACAATCATAACCAAGTTGCTCATCCACAGTTTCCAAAGTGTGGATGTCTTCAGCAATAGTGTTTTCTTCTTTTTCTGGAAAGCATCAATAGCAGCAGCAACAACCTACTTTAATTGTCTTGGGAGAGCCTCTTGGACTCTCCTGACCAACACCTTGAAAAGAGGTTTCCCATGGCTGCTGCTGGAGCGTTTGTTAAATAGTCTCGGGTTTGGAGGGAATGTGTTGTTAGCCAAGTGGTATGGCTTCAATATCTATGTGTTTGTGTGTGTGCGCGTGTGTGTGCAAGACATATATTGTATGCTATATACATATATATTATATGTAATTTTAAGTAAACATAAAATGATATAATTCCCTAGAGATTGTTTTGTATTTATATCTGTCAATGACAAATTTGAGCTTAGAGTTGTTGGAATTCATTCATATTTTTAAAAGAATAAAATTTCCATTTCTTAGCACTCTCCACAAAACTGTTTACCTGACAGATACTTCTTATGTGTTAGGCAAGGATTTACCCTTTTTTCACTTTTGCTTTTTGCTAAAAAAAAAAAAAAAAGAAAGAAAAAAGAAAGAAAGAGAAAGGAAGAAAAACCTTCCAAAAGTAACCCCAATAACAATTTCTGTGTTGAAAACTGCATTTTCTAAGCCACACTTGTCTTTAGACTTTAAGAAAGGTACAGGTTTCGGTTTGACTTTTGCAGTGCTGGGTAATTATTGATAATTACCATCAAAATCAGATGTTTTGTTTTTCTTCAAAGGACCTATATTGTCTGAGGTTCTTGAGTAGAGGTGAATGACACTGAGGTTCAGCTCGTGTTACTAAAGTACACCCTTGATTTGGCATTTTTCCTTGAACGTACTTTGATAAACCTTAGATTGATATAACTCAGTGAAATGTAAGCTCCTTTCATGCTGTGAGTTAAAATGGTCCTTGTTCTTCCCTAAGTATTTCTGGTTTCCAATGGAACGTGAGCATTCTTGGTAAGAATACTGCTAGCTTCTGTTACATGACTGGATATTCAGTTACATACTGTGCAAACTTTATTCAACCAAAAGCCAAAGTAGCTGCTTATCTATCACTTGCTGCCAGTGGCACAGTAGGGTCAGTAACTAGTGAGAGATGATAGACAGGAGTCTGTCTCATACTCGACTAGAAGGGAAATGATGCTAGTATTGTTTTATATTTTGTATTCCTCTTTCCTTTTGTTAGGTCTAGACCTCTTGATGTATAGTACTGACAGTTGATTTAGACAATGATTTATTCATTATCTATTAAAGTGAATGGTATTTGGTAAAAAAATAAAAATAAAATCTCTGATCTTAAAAGGACCTGGGAAGGGAGAAAGAGAGACGGTAAGAGAGAGAGAGAGACAGAGGAACAGAGGCAGACAGACAGAGAGACAGAGAGATGTCCAGCTTTTAAGATGAAGAATCATAGTGTAAATAATATCCCTAGAGTTAATAAATCTGTAGTGCTGGCTCCAGATGTGAAGCATAGGCACTTTGGGTTTTAGAGTTTGTGTTTATCATTAATTTTGGGGAATTACAAGCAGATAGCAGAAATTGACTGGGAAACAGATGATGAGGGAGCTTCTAGTAAGGAAGTCCCAGGACAGTGCAAGGTATCCCTATAGTTGAGGCTTTCAAATAAAGAGACAAATAGCAACAGATCAATCAAATCTGGTGCTCACAACATCCAGCAGAAAACTGAGGAAGTTAAGTAGTCGTCTAGACTTCCTGGTTAAATTTTTGTGCATGGATGAGCTTCCTGTGGCTGAACGTCTGACTTAATGTTCCCACAGTAGGCATTTTTATATTGGGGGATAACTAATAGTCACCTCTGTTGGAAATGTCTTCCTTCTAGATGTTCTCGAGGACAGAGTGTGTTTAATAACCTGAGCTTCTCATTATCTTTGCCTCTCTTGATAAAGAGAAAGGGGCCAACGTGGCCCAGACCAGGGTTTAGGAAAAGCTTGTCATAAATATGTTTGATTCTGAAGTTGGGGGAAGGGAGACTACTGTACTTTTAGAGCCAACTTCTCTAGTAACTCAAGCAGCACATAATAGCAAAGCAATATAGTATAGTTACATCTGCTTCTGCACTGCACAGTTCAGTAGCTTCTAATCACACGTTCCCATTAAATTATCAAAATTCAATACAATTTAGTGTTCAGTACTTAATATACTCCAATAACCACAAGAGTCTAGCAATTACAATGTGAATTATTCAAATAAAGGACATATATGTCATCATAGAAAGTTCTTCATGGGAAAAGCACACATTAAATGGGTAGCTAAGTAGTCAATTTGTTTGTGATGAGTGCACTAAAGAAATATCCAAAGTATAGACAATGACTTCTGTGCTAAAAATAGAAATAAGTAGGAATTCCTGAGTAATTTGAAAATGGAGAAAGCATTTCAGGAAGAAATGAGCATTTTCAAAGACTAACGTAGGAAGAAAAAGTATTGAGGTCCAGAAGGACTTCATGTGTTGCAGTTTGTGTAGAGGGTTTAGCTCTACTGATGAAGAGGGACCTTCCTGTGATGTCAGAGGAGAGATGAGTGGATCAGTGACTAGAGATAATGGCAAAATTTATTTTTCTTCCAATAGCCTCTTTTCTATGTATGAAATATAAACTCTTATAAAAGCAAAAGAGAGAAAAGAAGCTTACATTCTAAAGAGAGTGGAATGGCGTGAAGCAAGAATGTGAAGGCTGGGAAACTAGCAGAAGGAGAAATTCACTGAGGCCGTGAATCTACAGTACTGTTGAGTTTGTCAGAGTCATGAGGAAAAGACTCAAATGTTTTAATAGAGTCAACTAAACAAAATAATTTATTCAAGGAATTGACTGGCTATTCCATGGTAGGAACTAAATTGACATTATTGCCATTGCTGGGGTATGTCTAATGTAAATAGCAAATGAAACAAAAGAGGGAATGTCTAAGAAATTTTTAAGAATTTGATTATACTTATATCTTAAGAAATCTACCATATTTGAAAAGTTTTAAGACAGATAAGAGAGAGAATGTCTGACTCATCTGCTGCTCAAGCAAACAACCAAGAACAAAGAATGGTCTGAAGAAGTAAAGGAAAGTAAAGGGAAGGCAACCACGAAACTTTAACCTGGGCTCCCTCTCTGAGAAGTCTATCAATCTAGAAAAGGAGTGACATTCTTAGACCCAGTCCAGAGGATACTCTATCATTGTAAAAATTAACACCAGATGCTTCTGTGAAGTGGAGCATGGGAAGATTGATACTGTGGGAATTCCCAGTGTTTCTATGCAGAACATGAAGTTTCTTAGGTTCTTTATTATGTTCCAGATCATCATCCTGTCAGTTTCCACACAAAAAGGACGGTTTCAGTCACTACAGCCAAGACCGATGTTGTCTGCTGATTGCTGCATTAGATGTGGTCTTAAAAATGAAGAGCTAGAGGGGAATAAAATTTGGTGTTTAAAATAAATTAATTTTTAAAACTGAAGAGCTATAGTCTGTGAGTTGTTTATTTGCCTCCCCTTGTTTCTCTCTGGAGAAGTTTCAAGTAGAATATTGAGAGTAGTATGTTTTTCACATGTTTAGAAAAAATGAACTCTATAATCAAATATATATATATGTACATATATATATTCACACACACAATTAATTAATACAGTTTTTGTTCATTTTGTATTCAAGGCTTCAGAGATTAGCCAAAGATCTTGTAAAACAACTACAAGCACAAGACAGTGGCTCTTGGATAACTACCAAGGCTTCAGCTTTGGATCGGACTCTTGGTGAGGTTGCTAGAATACTGGAGAAAGAGGTAGGTAGCAAACCTTTCTTGCCTGACCCTGATCTTTGAGATGATTTCTCACTAGGACAAGAAATACAGCAGAATCTGTGCTTATTTTCTGTGTTGTTGAAAGTCAGCCAACAATTGATAAAGAATTTAAAAGTTTTGGTTTAATATTATTTTGTTGTTTTCTTTCGCTTAGTAAAGTCCTAATTAGACCATGGTTTTCTATGATAATTTTCCCCTTATAAATAAGTTGTTTACTCTGGACTGATAACTATACAGACATTTAATTTGATGGTACAAATTATAGATCACTGAACTATATAGCTTATAAATTAAAACAAAGTATCTCTGAAATACTAATTTCCTACCCATTTTGGACAGAAAATTTGATAATTTTTTTTAATAATTTAAGAGTTACTTACTGTCTCAGCAATGCTTTAAAGTCTGTACTGACTCTAATGGAATAATTCATATTATACACAGAAGAAAATGTTAAGTGTAAAAGTGTAAAGTTCCAGGTAATAATATCAATAACACTTTATTTTATCCTAGTCCTTTTATTGTGTATTTACTTCATTATCTGGCTAATTTCATGCTTTCTCATGTCTTTCAATTTTCTTTTACAATAATTCTTACAAATTGTCTTGAATTTCATACTGTAATTACATTATTTCCTGGCAACTGAAGAACAATATCACAAGTTAATAATTTGTTAGCATTTAGATGAAATCTCATTTATCATTTAAAGTAATGACTATCTCTAATTGTTAGCAGTATTTTTATTTTTGTTTTCTGGAAACAATGTTTCCTGGAAACAATGTTTCCTTGTTTTGAAAATAGTTTTATTGCTTTGTAATACAAATTTTTCTTTCTTAAAAAATATAGTAACTATTGTGTGTTTTACCTCTTTAAAATATATCATAGACATATTTTTGGACAGATTTCTGTTCTTATTTTATTAGTCTTATAAATATACCTGAAATATTTTCATTCATCTTCTGTATTACAAAGTACTTGATTGTGTTAATACTATATTTTACCCATTTATCAGACATCAGAATCACTAGAGAGCTTGTTAAAACACATATCAGATTTCTGATTTAGTTGTTTTAGGGTGGGTCCCAAGAATTTTAATGTCTAATATGTTCCCATGAGATGGTAGTGATATGAGTCCAAAAACCTTATTTTGAGAGTCAGTGCTGAAGCTAGGGTGTAGAATTGCTGGGTTCTCAGCTATATGAATGACAAACCTTTATGCTAAGTTGCACTTTGGCATAGACAGTACAGTCTTCCACAAGAACCAGCAGCAGCACATTCTGCACTGCCTTGTGGCAGAAACGCATAATGAGTTCCTCTCTAAAATACCCCTTTCAGAGTGTTGATGAGCTCATAAATTCCAAGTTGTCAGCATGTGCTAGGTAGAGTATTTAGAAGTTTGCTATGGCAGGATTAAAGAAACCTTAAATGTTTTATATACTGATCATTTTTAAAAATTGAGTTAAATGGTTTTTGTTTAAAGATACCAAGACTGTAGCTAATCTCAGAAAAAGTATTTTAGATTGAATTATTCAAAGAAATTTTAAGAAATAATGTTAATATGATCTATATAAAAAAAGGTATAAATGCCTAAATGAGATTATTTAATACACAAAGGGGCAATTTACCAAAATACCACTGGTTTTATATAATGTAGAGGAGAAAAATTGTTGTCTGGCTCCTAGTCTTAATGGTCTGTGTCAGGAACCTTGCTGAGAAGCTGTCCTTAGAGCATAGCCTGCAGGACCACCTAAGAGTGTAAAGTGAGCCACAGAAAGACCCTCTGCTGCTTTCATATTGAAATTCCTTTCACCTGGCCAAGACACACTGGCTTCACAGAGACAGTGTTCTGTAAAGCTGCACTGACACTGAAGTGGAGTTCAGCAGGCAATATTTGTTATTCAGCTAGGAATTGTAAATAACTATCTTCTGTTTGGAAAGCTGCCTGGAGTAACAAAACCCCAGGGAAATATTTGAAAGCAGCCTGTCAGTGACAAGAGAGGGACTGGTGGCCTCTAAGTACCTCTCACTGAGAAGGGTAAAAAGTGAGTTTTGAGGATCTGTCTCTCTCTTCCCTCTCTTTGAAACAGGGTCTCACTGTGTAGCCCTGGCTGTCCTGGTACTAGGTCAGTAGACCAGGTTGTCCTCTGCTTCCCAATGATGACATTAAAGTCATTTATATAGAGATATTTGTCTTGGGTAGATTTGCATCAACTCTCAAAATTTTTTTCAATGGAGAAAGTGGGATTTTCTTCAAAGAACTGTAATGGCAAAGCAAAAGAAAAAGCGTAGAAAGTAGAGCCTGTGAGCACCTGCCTGCCTGAGGGCAGTTGGAGAAAGGAGAACTGTAACAGCTGCTGAGGTGTGGGGTCTAATAGAAGGTTTCCTCCATATTGATCAGACCAGAACAGCCTGCGTCCTTATATAGTGGCACTTCTGTTTACTGCCAGAGACCATGAAGGAGGCATCTTGGCACAGTATACAAATTATAACCCAAAAGTTATTTGCAGCCCTATTCCACGTTTGTTATTTCAAATGCTGAGTTAAGTTTGAAGTGGTCTGAGATCATTGAAGTAGCGTTCTTCATGGTAAAATAAATAGAGATATTTCATCTTAGGCCTCACATTTCTTTTTTACGAGTACTCGAACAGAGCTCATGGGTAGAAGTATATCCATCATTGCAGAGCTGAGTATATACTCAGTTCTCCATCATCAACTTGACTAGGGATTCCAAATCACTGCCAAAGGACTTAAATGATTTCAGATTGCTAGTAACCAGGAATCTAACAGAAGCAGATATAAAATTTACTTTGGATAATGATAACATAGTCTTCACTTCATATCGTTTCAACAAAATTTCCAAATAGAGTATTGGATAGTAAACTAATTATGCATGTAAGGAGAACACTGGTGGAAATAGAAATCAGTATCAGCACACTTACCCACTTCATATAACTGTGCTTACCAAATGCAAGGTCGGATTACGTTTGTTCTTAAGAGAAAATGGACATTTGAGACCTGAAAACTACAGTAATCAATAATAATAGTAGTAATAAAAATAATAATAAAAAATTTTGGATATAGAGAGAATTAGTATTCTGGAAGATAGTTCTTAAGAAGGAATTTAGACTAAGCTTGTACAAGGGAGAAATACACAAAACTAAGAGAAGAGCATAAGTGGTGTGATATACAGTAAATATATCATGTTTGTGTATAACTAATACTCTAGAGCAATGGATTGCACCTTTCCAAATGCTCTTACCTGTTAATACAGTTCCTCATGTTGTACTGACCTTCAATCATAAAATTATTTCATTGCTACTTCATAACTATAATTTTGCTATTGTAATGAAACTTAATGTAAATATTTAATATGTGACCTCTGTGGAGGTCATGACCTTAGGTTAAGAACCACTCCTCTAGAAGAGACTAGTGCAGAAGTATCATTTGAAGTAAGTGTTACTAAGAATGGTCCAAGATCTACAAGTTAACACACAGATTTAAGATCCATAATGAAGTCCACTAAGCATTATCATACAGGGGTGGGAGAATAATAAGCCACTTAATAAGCCATCATCATTCACAAATTTGGATTCTCAGTTCCTAAGCAGAATTCTAGCAAACTGGATGATAAAGTGTGTGTGTGTGTCTGTGTGTCTGTGTGTCTGTGTGTCTGTGTCTGTGTCTGTGTTTGTGTGTGCATGTGTTTTAAGACAAATTAGTATTTCAGAGCAAATCTGGATTTATTGAAGATACAGTAAACAGTGGAAAATTAAATTATAGAAAGAAAAAATTTTCATTTAAAAAATATAGTCAAAGAATTTGGTAAGTTTTGTATCACTATAGTTTCTTAGTCACTATAAAGATCCATATTAGGCCATGCTGTGAGGAAATTGAAATTTTCTCAGTCTGACAAAATACATCCACAAAAAATTAAATGAAAATCAGACAAGTAAAATGTTTTAAATGTCCCCTGTAAAATGGGAAGCAAAAAAAGAGAAGTGTCTGCTACTAATACTTCTCAAGTACTGTTTAACAGAAAAAAGACAAGCTGTAAGATTTTGAAAGAAAAAGGTATGTCCTTATTAGCTAGTGATAGAATTGTACACAACTTCTTTCCATCGAAATTATTATAACTGGCAAGTTTATAATAAGGTCACTAGTTACAAAGACGATATGAAAGCCAGCCGCATTGATAATGTCAGCATGTTAAATATCTACAAGTAGAGCTTACTATTATTTCTAATTTTTTCTCAATCTTAGCTGTACATTCTGTGAAATACCAGCAAAAATCTAAATACATCGTTATGAAAGTTGAAATATAGTTTCTAAAATATGAGTTTTTAACATTACACTGTTTATTATTGTGAGTACTCTTGTACATGTATATGCATGCCAAGGTCAGAAGGCAACTTGGAGAGTAGGCTTCTCGTGTGGCTCCGAGAGGCGACACTCGCCTTCTCAATCTCTTAACCAAAGGACCAGTCAGCAGATCTGAAATGGAGATATTTTTTTAAGAATAAAAAAGACCAAAATATAGTTAAATCATACTCCATGAGAAAAATGTACACTGTGAGTTTGTGTGTGTATGTGTGGTGTATGTGTGTGCTCACACACACACATCGGTGCATATATATGCACACATGTTCATATATATGGAAAAAAGTAAGCATAATGAATCAAGATGTATGTTGTAATTTAAAAGTATATAGTTTGGAATGCTGGAGAGATGTCTCAGCAATTAAGAGTACTGGCTGTTCTTTCAGAGACCTGAGTTCCTTTCCCAGCACCATGCGTGTCTCAAGTTCTAGAGCGTCTGCCATGTAAGTGGTGCACAGACATACATGAAGGCAAAACACCCATTCACTAAAAATTAAAATGAATTTTAAAAATTATATCATTTTTAAGTAAAGTGATGGGTTAGACTTTCTTTTCTTACAACAATGAGGTAGAAGAGTCAGAATGAAAAAGGGAAAACCATAATCTGA